GCATTCTGCTGGTTCATCTTTTCGTTTCTCACCCACTTTTTCATTCATGCTTCAGACCACATTTCACGGCATCTTGGAGTATGATAGCAATATGCTTCTATGTGCGAGAACTGTTGATATCTCTTGCATTGCCGCGTGACCGACGATTTAAGTCGATCTTGTTACGTCTTGTTGATCCTTTTCTCTGACTCAGTATCCACGGAAATGAGATCAAACTTTTTGCACACTTTTCTAAGTTTCATGCTATATAATCATTTATACTAAAATAGAAACACAAAATTACGTATATCTCATTTCAATATTTTACGTGCACTTATTTCTTATTTAGTTACTATTCTTACCTAGTTATCATATTCGTTACCTCTGTCTCAATGGATTAAAGCAAATGCTGACTCAGAGCCACTACTCGAGTGCAAAGGCACAAGTTTGTTTCCTGTATTCCTGCCGTAGACATTTCTAACCCTCCTTACAAACGCAAGGCTTTGCTTTCTAGTGTGTCGAGTATGTCTTTTTCTTTTCTCCACCAACGTATATGACGAGCAATAGCTCTTCATAATATTTTATTTCTAATCTGATAGGCAAAGAAGTTCATTTCGCATTTGGCGAAAGCTTCCTTTGCAACCTTGTAGTTTCTAACGATATCTGTTAAGCCTTGGAATGTCGTTCCGGTATTTCGTTCGGACCTTTGTTTAGAATAGACCCAGAAGACCGTTAGGGTCTTCTGGCAGCCAGATTCTAATTGCTGTTTTAGTTCAAGTTCCGTGTCCCTTCTATCTTCATTTTCAATACATTTTCAAATAATTCTTTGTTTCCCTCGGGTCACCGGACACGAGGTATTCTTTAACCATTAATGTTTGAAAGCAGGCAACAGCACTTAGGATTTGGCTGACAATAGGCCTGCAAAGAAAGGGACCAGGCCATGTGTGACGTCGCGACTTTCGGAGCCATAAAGTAACGGGTACTGTAGAAATGGTCACGAATGTGCCGGTGACCCACCGCAACTCCCTTTGAGGGAGAAGCTTCCTCGACCAGCAGACCTCGTCGGGGTAGACGTTCCTTTCTTCTTTGGGGGCATCTGATTCGCGGACCGAGGGCCCACTCTCGGTCCTCTCAAAGACCAATAGGAAAAACGATTTCCCTTTGGAAACCATGGACTCCGAAAGATCGTGCATCGCACAAGTCAGTTAGGTCAGTACCAGTCAGTCAGTCAAGAACATTCGAAGAGTTCAGAAGAGTTATCCGAAACTACTACGTAAAATACAGTACACATTATATATACAGTACAATACATAACCACAACCTTCTGCAAGAAATTTGGTTCGTCATTAACCGTCGCCAATTGAGGACGACCTATTGACGATATACATTTCATGGTCCTTCGAGCCGGATTCCTGTATAAGCGTGTTGAATAGAACAATTGCCTACATTTTTCGATCTTATCATAATGCACAACGTAGAATGCAGAATAGGCTAACCGGTTCTGTAACAGTAAAGGAATTACGCGAAGCGCATGAGCGGATTATACGATGGGTACAGGCAGAAGTCTTTTCTAACGAAATAGACAAATTAAAAAAGGGCACGCCATTAAACAAGGGCAAATTAGTTTGTCTAAGCCCATTTATTGATGAGTTCGGTATCTTAAGGGTCGGGGGGAGACTAAAGCACTCAGCCCTTAGTTACGTGCAGAAACACCCGATTGTGTTGCCCCATAGACATCACGTAACCGAACTGATCATTAAAAACCAACACCTACGACAATGGCATGCAGGTATGCAGGCTACCCTACATGCGGTCAGACATAAATACTGGCCGATAGACGGTAAGAGTATAACCAGAGGAGATCATCTTCAAATGCGTTCGTTGTCGTAAAGCTAATCCGAAGACACCTCAGTATACAATGGGAAACTTACCAGCTACACGAGTCACGCAGTCGCGACCCTTTGAAAACGTCGGTATAGACTACTGTGGACCTTTCGACATAAAGGAGAAAAGGGCTTATGTCGCGGTAATGGTTTGCTTTGCAACAAAGGCAGTACATTTAGAACTGGCAATCGACTTGACTTCGGAATCGTGTATGGGTGTCTTGAAACGCTTTTTCTTAAGACGGGGTAAACCACGCAACGTATTTTCGGATAATGCGACAAATTTTGTCGGTCTCAAGAACGAAATACCGGAACGACATTCCAAGGCTTAACATGCCGCCCGCCTTGAACGACTGCGTTCAATTACAGTGGATCTATGAAAATGATAGTGGAATAAACTAACGAGGTACAAGGAACTTACAGCAGGGTTGTACAATTATATCGTCGCTTAAACTTAACAGTGCTTACAATCTAACCCTATATTGATCTTATAGACTTATAAATATTTGTCTTCGAGTGGCACGGGTGAAAGTCTTTTAATGCCAAGCTTATAGATCACGTTTCGTTTTAATGCTATTACTGTGCTTGTAAACACCGTTTTTGGTTCGTACCGGAACCACAAGTACAGTGCCATTTTCGCCTGGATGGACCTTGACAGCTCGCCCGCGCTATCCGGGTCGAAGGACCACTGTAGGGCTTGCATTAAATTAAATTTTGTCCTTGCTTTAGCAGGGCAAGTATTTCGGCTATACCCCTTTCAATCGTCAATAGGTCGTCCTCAATTGGCGACGGTTAATGACGAACCAAATTTCTTGAGGAAGATTGTCGTTATAGTGGACTGTATTTTACGTAGTAGTTTCGGATAACTCTTCTGAACTCTTCGAATGTTCTTGACTGACTGCCTGGTACTGACCTAACTGACTTGTGCGATGCACGATCTTTCGGAGTCCATGGTTTCCAAAGGGAAATCGTTTTTTCTATTGGTCTGTGAGAGGACCGAGAGTGGGCCCTCGGTCGGCGAATCAGATGCCCCCAAAGAAGGGAAGAACGTCTTCCCTGACAAGGTCTGCTGGTCGAGGAAGCTTCTCCCTCAAACTTCACCCGCACATGTGTGACCCTTTCTACAGTACCTGTTACTCTATGGCTCCGAAAGTCGCGACGTCGCACATGGCCTGGTCCCTTTCTTTGCAGGCCTATTGTCAGCCAAATCCTAAGTGCTGTTGCCTGCTTTCAAACATTAATGGTTAAAGAATGCCTCGTGTCCGGTGACCCGAGGGAAACAAAGAATTGTTTGAAAATGTATTGAAAATGAAGATAGAAAGGACACGGAACTTGAACTAAAACAGCAATTAGAATCTGGCTGCCAGAAGACCCTAACGGTCTTCTGGGTCTATTCTAAACAAAGGGCCGAACGAAATACCGGGACGACGTTCCAAGGCTTAACAATATCTACTCCTACTTTTATGATATCTTGGGCCAAAAACTTCGTAATCAAGTTTAGAGCTTTTGTTATTTAGAAATTTTTTGCCAATATCTTCAAGGTTTTTCAAATTTATTACGTTTGATACGAATATTGGCGGGAGTTTTGATGTAATGAGCTCACTCCTAGTTGACCCACTCTCCAAATTCACCTTTTGTTTTTGTGTTTTCCTTGGCTGCGTGGTTTCGCTTGTTTCGCCGTTTTGTTCTTGATGCGTCCCGAACACTATAGCTCCCATGGTTCAAGTGTCGCGGGGCCTTATAACATAGCGAAGCTTCGAACGTGAGAGTTGCAGTGATCGGGACTTCTTCGAGTTCCTCATTTGAATTGATCATGGCAATCTCATTTGCTATCAACATACGTCTTGTTGTGTTTGGGTACGGCATGATTATCTGTGGAAACATTCTTTGATCCTGTGAATTCTTATGCCTTCTCCTCGTTCTCGTTATGCTTCGGCCAGGTTTCGAACGCGACGGTTTTGGTAAGCAATTTGTAATTTCATCCGTTGCATTAAAACAATATACAGTCAAACCTGTTTTTGTGCGGTCCCTTTTTATGCGATTTGTTTTATGCGATTTTATTCTTGTGCGGTTTGTTTTATGCGATTTTTTTTTGTGCGATCTGTTTTATGCGATGTTTTTTAATGCCGTATATGAATTCCAATGGCATTGGCACCGTTGTAATGTTTCCTTTTAGCGTACAATGTATATACTGCAAGGCGTTTGTCGCATTTAGGCGTTCATTTGTTACGAACAGTCTTGCGACAATGCACATGTATTCGCTTTCTTTCGACACGGTAACAGCATACTCTTCGTATCCCAAGTTTTATCCACGACTCACGTGATTAAGGATTCATTTTATAGTGAGATTAAGGGTAAATAAATTACTTTTTCTAATTTGTATGTAGTTTTTATGATTTTTATATTGTTTTTAGAAAAAGTACTTTCTTAACATGGATAATTGTAGGCAAAAAAGTAAAAAGAAAGACAATTGCATTTGAAACAGGAATTGCAATCTTAAATAGACTAGCAGATGGTGAAGGATCCACAGCTGTTGCTAACGAATTTGCACGAAGGTGAATCAACTATAAGAGCTATGTACAAACGGGCAAGTAAAATAAATGAATCTGTTAATAATGCAACTAACGAAAGCAGTAAAAGAGTATCATATTCAAGAAATATTGCTATAGAGAAAACGGAAAAGGCTCTAGTGCTTTGGATTAAAGATTTAACTAAAAAACGAATCCCCATTCACGGAGATTTGATTAAAGAAAAAGCCAAACAATATTTTAACCAGCTGAAAGATTTAGAACCATTCAGTTCCACATTCTGTCCTGAAAACTTGAAATCCTCTGCGAGTAATGGCTTGTTAACAGGCATTTTGCGACGGTACGCACTTCACAATGTGAAGGTACAAGGCGAGGCTGCGTCCGCCGATGAAACAGGTGCTAAAAACTATTGCAAAATACTACCAAAAATCATTGAAGATGGTGCATATTGTCCAGATCAAATATTTAATGCAAATGTAACTGGACTATTTTGGAAAAAGGATGCCTAGACGAACGTTCACTGCCAAGTCCGAAAAAAACTGCAAGCGGTTTTAAAGCTGCAAAGAATCGAATTACGCTCCTTCTTTGCCGTAATGCATCTGGGGCAAGAATGTTAAAACCTCTCATTATAAATAAAGCTTTGCACCCGCGTGTGCTGCAAGGAACAAATGTAGCCGAACTTCCGGTCCATTTCATGGCCAATAAAAAAGCATGGGTTACATCAGCTGTTTTTTCAACGTGGTTCAACGATTGCTTCGTACCAGAAATTGAAAAATATATGATAGAGATGGCTCTTCCGTTTAAAGTCTTGCTAATTGTTGACAATGCACCCGGCCATCCTCATTTAGAACATCGTAAAGCACAAATAGTGTTTTTACCGCCAAATACGACTAGCCTCGTACAACCACTGGATCAGGTTATAATCGCAACTTTTAAGAAGTATTATGTAAAGTTAACTTTCAGCTACATTTTGAAAAAAATCGAAAACGATGGAATAAGTCTGACTGAAGCTTGGAAAAAGTTTTCAATTTTAGACTGCATAAACCAAGCTACTGCAGTAATTGCTCAAATAGAACATACCTTAAATTCGTGCTGGAAAGCGATCTGGCCTGAATGTGTAATTAATAGAAACGTAACCGAAAACACGTCCATGTTAGTATCAGAAATTACTGTGCTAGCACATCGCATCAGCGGAGAAGGCTTTGACACTTTCAGCGAAAAAGATCATGACGAAACGATTGAGGACGAAACAATGAATGATAGTCACATTATCAATAATTTGATAAATTATGACAAGACGGACAAGAAGAACCGGATTCTATGACAGCGGACAAAATATATGCAGGGATCCAGCTTTCCATAAATTAGAAAGGCATTTTGTTAAAATAGATAGAAAGAAGTTGAAATTCTAGAAAGAGCTTCGGTCATGTATATCTGGTTATCGTGACGTTTACAAGCAACTGACCAAACGATCGTCATCGCTAAAACGTATCACTGACTTTATGGTCACAAAAAATAAATCAATTGACATTGTATCTTCAAGTGACGAAAGCGATTTTGAACCAATTCGTCACAAGAGGATGCGCGTTTTGGATTACGATGAGTAGCAGTAAATTATGTATGCGCATTTTGAAATTTAGCTCCATGTGTACAATGAGAAATTAAATGTTTTTAAAATGTTTCAATATATAATTTAATTATTTATTTTGCTTGGAAGCACTTTCTCATGTATTTCCTAAATCTTTGGCGTATTTTCTAAGTGCGACTTTTTTATGCGGCCCTTCTCCACCGCATAAAAAGAATTTCTCTAATATGTTGTAAAAAATTATGTTTTATTAGTACATATCCATGAAATTTCCGAATATTCCTTTTTATGCGGCTTCTTTTATGTGGTCCCTGTCTACCGCACAAAAACAGGTTTGACTGCAGTCCTGTTTGGATCTAGGTGCATTGTACCTTTGTTAATCATCCATTTTTGGATTTCAATTTACATAGTTGATATTACAAATTCAGGCAGAGGGGTATAAAGCTGTCTTCTACCGCTCTCACTTGTTTTCATTTCGCTGTAAATTGTAAACGCAACTGCACGATCTCACTTCGTTCTGTTTGCACCGAACGCACGATTGCCGTTCGTGTAATTAATTAAACACGATTTCGAAAACAAGGCTCAACAAACATTAACTATAACAACTCTAACCAAAAGAGGAACCTCTATAACTATACCAATGTTTCTTGTAGAACTGGCTCCAGCACACAAGAGCAAGGAAATATATAATACTAATCTAATATCCAAAACCATAATCAGTTTACAACTGTCAAGTGCAAACGGAGAATTATTGTAATGTATGAGACACCAATCGCACGGTCACAAAAAGAATTACTCTAAGCGAAAGCCAACCCGTGTCAAATGTCCTCAAGGATGAATTGAAATCGATAAATGCGTAAATTATCGAGGAAACCATGCAGCCAATTACAAGGGATGTATTATCAGAAAACACATTCGAACAAAAATTTATCCCCCAGTCAGGGACCGTGCGATAAATAAATTGGAAAAACGATGCAGTAACATCGATGGTATCTACAACCAAGTTCTCAGCTCATATTGAAAATAGTCATCATTCATATGGCGATTCCAAAGGCAACGAAATTATGTTGTACGAAGTTTATTTTTTCAACCGACAAAAACCTCTTAACGGAACTTAAATGTTACACAAACAAAATAAACAATTAACTTCTCCAACAGAGAATGTCCAAATTAAACAGAATATGCAGCGCAAAATAAAACAGAGTCTCTATACGTATTATAGTATCTCTCAACCTAGTAGTACAGTCCATGGTGAGGCAGACGTTTTCGTAACAAGTAACATAAAACATATAAAACTACTTTTCACTCAAACAGGAAATATACAGGCTACGGTAAAAAAAGAAAAAAAAAAGATGCTAGAAAGGCAATTAACAAAAGCAATAACCTATAGTCCTGAAAAACATAGATTAACCACACAAGAAATTGATACTTCATTAAACGCATTTGAAAACGACTTTTTCCTAACCGGCGACTTTAGTACAAAACACTGCTTTTCGAGCTCATAGTTAAAAAACAACAACAAAGGAACTAAATTGGTCCAATATATCAATGAAGGACAACTAACTGTCTTCATAGTTAAAAAACAACAACAAAGGAACTAAATTGGTCCAATATATCAATGAAGGACAACTAATAGAAAGATAAAGTATGAATAGAAAGATATATATTGACCATATATTGGCTCACAATCGATAATAGAATACCCGACTTGACCGTGGTATCAATAATGTAAGCAATCATCACACCAGATCCATTGTACTCCTCGAAATTACGTCTGGCCTCACACCCGGAGTATTTATAACCAATTCCATAGCAACCAAATTTTCTAACCGACCGGTGTTAACGAAAAAAATGCGAATTGGGAAAATTATAAACGAATCATAGACGATTTTCAATCGTGCAATATTCCATTAAAAGCAGAATGCGATATAGAAATAGTAACAGAGCGATTAACAATACTTCATCAAAGTGCAACTTTCGAATCTACTGAACACTATGAAAAAGAAAATGAAATAAGATATCCAGTTTAAGTCCAAAAACTAGTTAAACGAAGAAAAAGTGAGAAGAAAGAATTGACAACGGAGCAACTCTAAAGACAACTAAGCAGACATAACCAAGGCTATGAGTTCAGAATTCTATAAACACAACAACAAAGAATTCAACAGATATATTTCTGATCTAGATGCTTCGGAGTTAACTAATCATGCTCGCTAGAAATTATCTTAAAAAACGAGAAAATCAGAACAAGTCACAACTCCGATCAAAATCTCGTCAAGTTCAAGATTTCGTTCATTGACGAAATCGATCAAGGAGCAGACTACCGTCATCGCTGACTACGTCAAGGATATTTTCAAAAATGCTACTTTGCTATTCAAACAAACGTCACATTTCGCACCAGGGATTTTCTTCAAACATGCAAACAGCCAACAAATTATGAAAACGGCTACCTGCAGCGCTATGGGAATTAATTACACGATGGTGTGCCGTAAAGAAGCGCATTTGGATCATTATTCGACACCATCTACGATACATTGCAGATATTGCTCGAGACCGTGACTGAAATCTCTATGTTCCCAGATAACGCGGCTATATTAACTCTCCACGACGATGCTAAAAGTTCAAGGCAAAGCATGAAAACCATATCGTACTACTTGAAAATTGGCTAAGAACAATTAGATTAAAAATTAATTTTGCAAAATGTGCTCACATCATCTTCAAAAAAAAAGATCCAAACGAGAAATTTGTAGTAATTTGAAATCAAACGATACTGTTTACAATGGAAACAACGTATATAATAGGAAATAGAACAGATTGAAATAACTATTTTAAAAATCTGAGCGAACAATAGACCCGAAAATTTAATCTCAGTAAAAATAATAAAATATTAACGTAGGAATACTTTTGATTGGCAAATATAAGGAACAAGAGATGTTGTTTTATTCTAATATATATTTGTTACGAGCTAAATGAGACTTAGGAGTAAAGTATAAACTAGAAGACTAGATTGATAACTGATTTATGATCACGTCAACTTTTCCTTAAACTCCGTAAAGGATTGCCTTAAGACAACCCTTGCACACTTATTTAAACCTACTCTCGCTATTTTTCCCTGTGCATGCTTTCTTTCCCGTTTATTCGTCTCCCTCGTAGCCTGGTCATCGATGGGTCAGGTACTCCAAACGCTCAGACGCATTCCTAACTTTCGCTCCTTGTTCGCACTCGATACACTCGATAAATATCCCGTTTATACGATACTTACACACGATCACTAGGCCTTCCACGTGCACTCTACGTCACTCTGAACATTCGGCCTGAACCCTAGGCTGCTATTTATTGTCCATCATCAGTTAGGTAGGCCCAAGTGTTCCCTTGCATTCACTTTCAAGCCCTAGCATTCCTACAAAAATACATAACTGTGTGCGACAGGGGAATGGATCGAGCGTATGCCTTAGCGAGTGGGAGGTGCACGAATGGCGTGGTAGAATATTGATTTACGTCGAGAAATTGAGATACCTCGACAAGTGCGTACTATAGACTCGTCAAAAAAAAAAGAAGGAATACAGCATCAGTTTGTGCGGTTAGACGAACATCACGGCTATAGCGAATTTGTTAAATCACTTTGATGGCGACGCGAGCATTTACGAATGCTGGGAGAGACAAGTAACATTTCTCACAGACTCATACGATATATGCGAGGAAGAGATCAGGATTTTTATTGGAATTCGAGTGCGGGAGAAAGACCTCGAATGACTTTACTCAAGACCCGAACATGAGAAGTTGCCATTCCGAGAATATTTCGAAGAGCTGCCAAGTATGTACGTCTATCGGCCCAACGGGATGACAAGCACAAGAAATTTCTAACAGCGCATGTAGAAAAGGGGCGCAGAATTGGGCGAATACTTACAGGAAAAAGTAATTTTTTCAAATCGTGTCCCCATTGAGGATGACGAAATAGTAGCCATCATAATTGAAGGTATTCCCGATCTTGTACTCCGAAATCACAGGCCTACCTGCAACGATTTGAAAAGAAGGAATTGTTGCTGGCTGCATTTGGGAAAATCAAATTGTTCACTACGATCGGAACTACAGAACACTACGAAGAGCCATCAATAGCGAAGAAAACATGGAGGAAACGCGGCCCTGAAAATAAGAGATACGTAAGCAAGGAAGCGCTGAGACAAGGCGGTATAGTGTATCGATATCATAATTGTGGTTCGATAAATCGTCTGTTCGCAGAGTGTCCCACTCACGAATAGAAAATAAAGTGATTTCAGTGTCGCAATATCGGATACACTGCGATGAACTGTCCGAACTGCTCCGATGAACTCGAAGGCGATGGCAGTCGAAAACTATTGCAGCATTACGCGGTTCGGTAACGATGCATATGTTAAAGATAGCGAAATATTTACCAAGAAATTTGCGTCACAATATAATTCTGCCCAGCACAAGATTTTATATATAAGATGCATATCCGAGTCAAACGGTACAAATGTATCTGAAATCGAAGAACCCGTCTATCAGCGTTCAAAGCGATTGTCGCCTTCTGAGAGAAAAGTGGTAAATGAACAAGTCGAAGAATTGAGACGTTATGACACAGCGTGACCTGTGAGTGATCTGTTAAAAGAAAATCATGAGTTTCGGTTCAACGAGAAGGAAATATATGCGTTGTAATAGTGAAAGCGATATTACATAAAAAAGCCAGTGCCGCGATTGATATTACGTGAGTACGGAGACGGAGT